ATGTGGATGATATTGTAGTGATAGGGAATGATAACAGTGAGATTGAGTCTCTTAAACAACTCCTTCATCAAGAGTTTGAGGTGAAAGATCTAGGAGAGCTACGATACTTCTTGGGTATTGAAGTAGCTAGATCTAAACATGGGATTTTTATTTCTCAAAGGAAGTATGTTCTAGATCTATTGGAAGAAATTGGAAAGTTGGGTGTTAAGCCTGCAGATATCAGTGCAGAAGGTGGAGAGCCACTTGAAGACAAAGCTATGTTCCAACGGTTAGTTGGAAAACTCCTATATCTTTGTCTCACACGACCGGACATCAGTTATGCAGTCAGCGTTGTCAGTCAATATGTGCACTCTCCTAGAACTACTCACCTCCTTGCAGTTGAGAGGATATTAGCATACTTGAAGAGATGTCCAGGTAGAGGTATATTATTCAAGAATATTGATCACATGAAGATAGAGGTTTATACAGATGTTGATTGGGCTGGGAGTGTTGATGATAGAGTGTTGTTTCTCATTCTAGTGTTGATGATACAGATAGAGGTCTACCTCTGGATCTTGTGCCTTTGTAGGAGGTAACCTTGTCTCTTGGAGGAGTAAGAAACAAAGTGTTGTTTCTCATTCTAGTGCAGAAGCTGAATATAGATCTATGGCTAATGGTGTGGCTGAAATCCTATGGCTGAAGTCATTATTTGAGGAGTTGGGTATTGCTTATGAGAAGCCMTTAATGTTGTATTGTGATAATCAGCCTGCTATTAATATAGCTCATAATCCGGTACAGCATGACAGAACTAAGCATATTGAAATCGATCGACATTTTGTCAGAGAAAGGGTTTCGTCTCAAGAAGTGTGTCTCCCGTATATCACCTCCAGCATGCAGCTCGCAGATCTTCTCACCAAGGCTGTTCCAAGGAAGAAGTTAGAGGCAGACCTATGCAAGTTGGGAATGACAAATATCTATTCCCAACTTGAGGGGGAGTGTAGAGAACACTGATGTGGACCCCACTACTGTGGTCCCCACTGTGTTCGTATGGCAGCATATTTTTGTTAGTTTATTTTTTGTTAGTTATGTTAGTGTTAGTTGGTAGTTATTTCAGTTTGTTATTACAGCTTGTTATTTCAGCTTTGTTATTAGTTTATTTGCCATGTAAGCAATAAGGGCAATTCAGCCCTTTTACAATTAGTCAACATATATAAATATTAAGAGTGGGTTGGCAGATCAACTGATCAACCCTCTCTCTCTTTTCAAAATCTCTTCGTGTGCTTCTTCTCTTTTCTCCCTCTCTTCTCCTTCTCTTCTGAAATTTCCTCTTTCTTTTCTTTTGAATTCAAGACTGATTGTAGTCTTGATCGACTACTAAAATCAGCCAGACACGGTACCAGAACCCATCGGATAACACTTCAACTGATCTGGGCAGAAGTTCTGGTTTCACCCCTGCAATCTTAATCTCGGCAGCGTGTAAGTCTTGAAGATTAATCTCCTCCAGAGCCCCTCCCAACAGCCTCACTATGTTCTCCAGGTTCAACTCGTTCCAGAGATGAAAAGGAAGTCCTATCAACTTGAGCATGAAGCTTCCAGAGGTGTGTTCCATTTCATTACATAGCAGCTTCCAATTTTGAAGCTGGATCAAGCCCTCTACAGAATCGAACGTTGTGAAACCGCACTCTCCATCCCCAACATCAAGGACTGCTTTCCTGTCTGAGAACAGCTTTAATGCTACAGCGGATTCCGTTTTCTAAGTTACACACCACTGTGTCCAGCAACTTTCTCCAATCCTTCACTTCTTTGTTGACTGTTATCACCATTCTCCTCTCCCAGATACTTTTCTCAGCCTCAAGCAATAACCTTTTTACACCCGTCGAACTAACAGTGGCTTCTCCACAAAGGGAGGAGCTTTGTTTTGTAGCTTCCTGCTCCTCATCATTTGTGTCAACTACCAACTGGTTCGGATGATTTTGCTCACTAGGCTCCTTTATGTTTGTGTCTTGTACCTTGTTTGAAACGCTGTCAACATGTAAAAGGTATTGTTGTAATTTATCTGCAAAGACCGGCCATCCCTGTACCTCCTTCCCTTCCAGAAGACATACCATCTGCCTCCTGCTGTCAAAATATTCTGTGATAGCAATGAACCATCCTCTCTCATTCCTTCTCAGCTCAGCTTCAAATCTCTTCCTTTGCACTTCTACGGAATTTCACCAACCTACTGTCCTAATAGAGTAGGTTACTCCATCAATAAAACCTTTCAACCACAACACAGCTTCGTCAGGCAGGAGGATCGTCACCCTCCTTTCTTCTCTGATTTTCAACAGGTTCCTAACTCCAGCCCTTCCAAAATCGAACATGATTCTCTTTGTCTCAACCCTTAGTTCAGCTTTCCACAATGTTTCCATCATTCTGAGACCCTCAGTTCAACCTTGGGTGCATGAGATAAGAGAGGCTAGATCTTTAGCATCCGGCTTGAAGCCTTGAACACCTCATTTACACAGGCAGCAAGATCTGCAAACTCCATAGCAGATTCTAGATCTTTGCCAGTTCAAGTCCAGTATCATGGAGACTTTGAGTTATCATTTTTCAATTTTAATTTTTTTTAGTGACCCCTGGTTCCCAAAAGAAGTCCCTCATGATCTTCTCTAACCGGCTTGCCACTTTCACTAGAATTTTGAAGGTAGAAAGGAAGTACACTAGTAAATTGGCTAGTATTGACTTCATAAGAGTTATCCTACCTCCCAATGAAATGTAATTTCTCTCCCAATCCACCAGTCATTTGGCAAATTTCTCAATCACTGGATACCAAAAGCTATTTGAGTTTGGATTCCCTCCCAAAGGTAGCCCCAAATACTATAATGGCCAATCACCCACTTCACACCCCAAAAGCCTAACTAAAATATTCACCTCTTCACTCTCTAGGTTCACTCTTGCCACATAGCTCTTGCCCCAATTCACTTTAAGGTTGGAGATTCTCTCAAATTTATTCACAGGCCTCCTTAGGTTCACAAGCTCTTCTGTTTTTCCTTCACAAAGTAAAATAATGTCATATGCAAACCGTAGGTGTGTGACCCCCACACTCCCCCCCCCCCCCCCCAACTCTCCAACCTCTAACCAAATCACTCAAGACATCAGCCACCAGAGTAAATAGAAAGGAGGATAGGGGATCTCTTTGTCTAAGGCCCCTCTTAGCAGGAAAAAAAATCCCTGGCTACTCCATTCACCAGAATTGAAGCACATCAACAAGATAGATCATAAGATTCATGAATCAAGCCATAACATTTAAACAATAATTGTTGTATTCTTTCAAAAAATGATTTAACAGTAATACTCAAATTAGAACCCTTGTATATCAGAGTTCAAATAATCAATTGTATCTCAAATCATAAGATTTTAAAAAGTCCGTTCATTGATAAATTAACAATATATGTGTACAAAATTGTGAAGCTTTTCAGACTGTGTGCTTTGCTTTAATGGTCCAATTTTGCTCAACACCATGATCTAATTACTAAGATCTGAACCATTTCAAATGGCTTGCACTTGCTTTCTATTCAATCCCACCCCCTAATTTAGAGCTCCATTTCTCCCAAAACCTGCTATTTGGAGTTGGAACCCAACAGCACTAACCATAACTTTGTGTTTCGTAATGAACAACCAAACCCATTGGGTAGGGCATTAGTTCGCTTATAACATACTTCATGCCACAAATCCATCCACTAACAAAGACAGCATGGTAAGATTAATTACATATATATTGGTGAAACCTCACAAAAGAAAAATTTCGGATTCTAATACATTTTTTCATATAATGATTTAGGGCCCATTACTTGACAATGGATATGGCACTGAACACATCAAAATGGTAGAAGAGGATTCATGTAGCTTATCCCATATAGTTGGGACAAGACTTTGTTAACTTGAGTTGTGTTGAGTTGCTACCAAGTTTCCAGTTCCTGTTCTGGACTAGTACTAGTAAAATGCCAATCTTGCAGATTGCAACAGAGATAGACTTTTATGTTATTATTATTAGTTCAAGGTGATGTGACATAACAAAGCCTTGGAAGCTCATACATCACATTAGGGAGGTGAGAGCATGGAAACCACAGTGAACATATCATTCAGACCAAATCAGCTAATTCTTTAGTTGATAGTCTTTCCAAAGGAGTACGAGGAGGACCACTATTAGGATATTGATATGCCAGCTTAAATGATATTTTGCATACATAGCCTTCTTTTCTTTTTTTAAAGCCTCTCTAAGATTTAGATTCAGGTCTCCTTTTACAAGACCTGGTCTTTGCTTATATCTTTTGTTATCATTTTAATTATCAACTAATCTCTTTCATCATTGAGAGATGGGGTTGTGTTTTGAAAAACATTGAACAAATGTCTATGATTAAATTTTTCTAACCACTTCACATTGTCTCCTTAATTAAATCCTATTTCCCAAACATCTCAATGTGACAATGTATGAGAATATTCGCAGCTGTAATATGCAATGACCAAATAACCCTACATTTGCAGTATCAGTATCGACTATCAAGTATATTAGTTTCAAGCACGGACTTTCAAAGCTGGAACTGCGAATCCTTTCTTTTACTAACTGTAAGCCCAGAAGTAACAAAACCTAGCAAGGCTCCGTTTATTGCAACGTAAACCGGGCGGTAATTTTTTCACTTTAAAACATTGTGGTTATATTTCTGCCCCTCTTGCAGACAAAGCTTTGCTTCCCCCCCCCCCCTCTAAACCCAAACAAACGCAGCATGAAAATCATTACTACAAAGTCTCAAAAATCATGCATGTTCATTATCTGCCCTAAATTCTACAATCTTAATTAGTTCAAACCTATCGCTAGGGTATCAATTCCATTTTTGAAGATTAACAAAATAGAATCGCGCATAAAAAAAAATAAAAAACAACCTACTTATAATAACTCAAACATACATCTAGAGAAGTCGGGTTCCATATGCATAGTAAGAGATGGTGAGATAAAGAGATTGAAGAGCAGCTGAAGAACTCACAGACTCCAAGTAGGAGACAGCAGCTTTTCTTGCTTCAGGTGAAGAGCTCCAATCTAGGGCTGCAACTATGGCTCGAGCAACATTGCTCGCTATGCTGCTCTCGTCCATTTCTGTTCAAGTGTCGAACAAGGTCTGATTAGAGTGCTGTTGCAGGGGAAAGTGATTAAGTGACCTCTCTAGTCTCTGTGGGATTCTCTGCGGCCAAATAGAATAGAGCCCAAAAAAGAAAATGAAGAGCGATGAGGAGATAACATGCAGGGGTTCGAGCATCTACATATTACAGATTGCTAGCACATCCAAACGGAGAGGTTTTGTAAAACACAGGAGCGTTTTTCACCATGGAGAGGGAACAAGGGAAGACATGATTATAATGCTGCAGTTCGCCACTGATCTCTCTGTAACGAGGGTGGTATACACGGCAACCCGGGTTGGTCGGACCGGCCTGAAATGCCTGTCCGAATTTTTTTTTTCACCTTTTTTGATGGGTGGTCCGTCGGGTTATTTTTTGGATAGGTTGGACAACAATGCCTCGCGTATTCCTATGTTCTTTTTGCATTAACAATGGGCCCCACAGTAAAATTACTCTTACTTTCTTGGATAAAACTTATTCATCTCCCAGGTGCCTAACTAACTTTCATAGCTTTAAGAAATTTTTACAAAATCTGATTGAACCATTTTACCCATTTTAATAATTATTTTTTGTAGATAGAAATGTTATTTTATTATTTACCTGTGAATCATAAAAATCAAAAGAACATGAATAAGTGCAGTTACCCAAATAAACTGCACCATTATAAACGAATGGGGCCTCCATACAAGCCTGGTTGGAATGGTTTCCACGTTGGAGGCGAGTTGCATTGATTGACCCATGGTGAGTGATCAGGGCTATCAATGGGTCGAGTCTAGGTAATAACCAATTTTGAATTGATTATTAATTGGAACAAAATCACACATTCATAATCGATTATATTGAAAATTATCTTTGTTTAATTAAATTATAACTTAAATTTTAAATTTTGATAATATAACCATAATAAAAATGATATAGAAATATTAAATTATTTATATATTAATAAATTAAACATTTTTAACTAATATTATATCTTGTTTATTGTTTATCAAATATACTATTCTAAACATAATATATGACAAAAGTTATAAAATATTATATATTTAATAAAATAATTGTTTTCATGTTTGAATTGTTTCTGGACAAACAAGAACCATAACCGGCCCACCCAATTATTAACCAGGACAAAATACTAGAACCAGACCTGTTATAATCGATTTGGTCAATTCAGGTCCATTGGGTAGACCCAGCCCATTGACAACCATAGTGAGCACGATGTTTCGGTGAAGCTACTTGGAGTAGCTTTGCATTTTAGTTGCATTTCTCACGTCCAAAATATGATGGTTGGCTTTCCGGATTTTCACCAAACACACCTTATGGCATTTCCACGTGAGGCCCAAATGAGGAGTCAAGATTTTTCTTGAGGGGCGCCAAAAAGTAATAAACATTGATTGGGAGCCAAAAGTAAATACACAAGGATAGATGGGCTGAAATATAAGTGAGATGTAAGTAAAAATGTGGGGGTTTTAAAGCCATAGGGGGGCATGGCCCCCTCTACGACCCCTAGTTCCACCCTTGCTTACTAATGTTGTTTTATTCCTTAGGTAAAGTTGTACAATGAATATTTTATTCGAAAACATGACATTATTGAGGGGACAATATGGACTCATCATGTATTAGCAATTTTTAGTGCATATGGGTAATTGATTTTATCTAAGGCTATGTTTGGTTTGAAGGAAAATGTAGGAAAATGAAGGGAAAGATAGGAAAACTCATACAAGATTTGTAAAAGTTTTCCTAACTTTCCTTTCCCTTTCCTACTTTTTCCTTCAAACCAAACACAATGTAAGGATCTATTTGTTCCCTCTTAATTCTTATATCTTAAGAGGAATCTTTTAACTTTAAGAGAAAAATAGGTGTTCGTTTTCATTCATCTCTTATTTCTTGAAGTGCAATCATACAACTTTTTTGTAAGACAAACAAAAACTCTCATATATAAGGTCAAAATGAATATTTGATAAATTTCATAATTCAGAATTCATAACAACATTTTATGCATTCAAAATTCAAAGTAAAGAAAAGTTCACCGATACTAATACACCTCTTAATGTAATTATTGCACTTTCAGATGTCAAACTTCAGATCAATCGAGCAAGCCCTAAGTCTGAGGAGGGTTTTACTTGTCCAAGTAAATGAGTCGCTTATGAATCTTTGTTTTCCATAGAACCATCTCATACTAAAATAAAAACACGGGTTCGTATCTTTTCCATGGGACTCACCAACTTACCCGTCCCACTTCCCAAAAAACAAATGAGGCCATGGTGAAAGAAGAAAAACCAAAACAAAAATCAACTTAGAAATCATATACCAAATTACAAGAATACCCATTGTATATGCAAGGGTACCAATGAAGCCGATTACTTGGGTTAATCAAAACTGAGAACCCTAACCTCAAATAAACATGACCCACCCAACTCTATAGAATAAGATCAAATTAGATTTGCCATTTAATTTGAACCAATAGCAACCCTACTTCTCTTAATAGAAACTAGTATAACCCAAATTCGGATTAACTGAACACATTAGTTGTGTAGCAAGTTATGGAATTAATGATAACACCCCACACCAGAGATAAATTACATAGGGCTCACAGTGAAAAGATTGAATGGTTACGGTCCCATGTATTTTATAACTGGTGTGGAGCATTATTATTAGTTAGACAGTTACTAAACAACTATTGCATTCGGCTAAGCATATCCTGTATAACTTGCATTGATTTTCATTAATTTTTAAGTGGCATTATATATATATTGATTGGTAATTTGGTATGTGTGGAAAGAAATTAATAAACTTTATTTATTATTAATTTTTTTCCATAAATACTTTCTCCGGTGTCAATGATAAATGAAATAAAAACACACATAGGCTCTTACTTGAGGAACCAGCAAAAAGGGATGGTGGAAAATTACTTGGATGTCAATGGCCAAGATAGAAGGTGTTTGCTCTTGTTGTTGGCATTGTGGGTGGTGGGATTATCATCTCTCTCTCTCTCTCTCGGTTTATGGCCAAGCTTTCTCAAGGTATAAGAATTTCCAAAGGGACCCCAAATGAAGTCTAATTCTTGTATGCTTTCTTTACTTCTTTGGCTGCTGTGCTCACACAAAAATACCTAGAAAGAGCCAAAAGGAACGAGGGAGGAATATTTACTGTAAATCTCTTTTTTTGCCATCTCTTCTTTGTTTGTTAAATTGCATCTCTTCAACTTAACTTTAGTAGAGTTTGTGTAGATTATAGCAGAGTTGGATTTTTTTTGGTACAAATCAACAAGTTAAATGGCAACATAAGTTGTAAGAAGAATATGTGAATAGATTAGTACGAAGCAAAACAAAATTCCAAGCACCGTAGTTCGGGAAATGTCACTATCTGTTTTCAATTGAGGGAACCATATCATACCAACAAGAAAGTGATATGAAAGCTATCTTAAGTGAATTTAACAGGAATTCAAGCTCCACATTTGACAAAAGGATATACCTCCACTAAGATGAAATCCAATAAAGGAAAAGGAAATTTACAAAATTCCACTAGGGGAAATCCAAGAACTCATCCAATTTTTTCCCAACTTATATCTCCCTAAAAAATGAGCTAAAATTATATTGGATATCTAGTATCTTTATCCACCAAATGAGAGCAATTGTGACTAGAGAGAAGGAACTTCTTTTGTTTTCAGTTTTGCAGTTTAAAGATAGGAGCTCTCCAATTCAGTTTTGGGTAGAGAAGAGAATGAGAGAAAACCAAAGAGGTGATTTCAACGCTCTCATACGTCAAAATAGAGCCATGGACAACTTAGTTTGGTTCTTCTTCTTCTTCTTTAAAAGGGTAAAATAAGGTTTAAAAAATTCTAAATGAGTTCATTTGTAACATTTCATTGATGGAGGATACGTTTAAGTCTAATGGGTCAACCCGCAAGGTATATTTAAGTCTATTTGAAAAACTCAATGTACATTTAAATCAATTTACGAAAACTCAAGTTATGTTTAAGTCCCAATTGAGTGGTGGCTCAATTGGTGCATTAATGGGGTAATCCCAGGGGTGACGTGGATTTGAGTCTCACTATTACCACCTTTGTTGAGAGTTATTAGTGTGTTGTATTAAATACCAGAAATAAGGTATGTTGAAGTTTTTTACCCTTTTTTTTGCTCTCATGGGGTTACATAGTGTAAGGGTAACACATCCCCCATCCCATTTAAGCCCCAACCCTTGTGGCAATGGGATTTGATCCTAGGTCTTTGCTACAACAAGTCAAAGATGATACCAATTGGTAATTTAGGTAAGTTAAATAATAGGGGAAAGAGCAACACAATACCTAATGCGAGTGATGATTCAATTAGTGCTCCTGATAATTGAAGTTCTCTGTACTTCTAGATGCACGACTAGGTTTCCTTCCCAGAAGAGGCTGAAAACGTACACTATTTAAAAAAATGCTGATAAGTCTTCAATCAATGAAAAAAGATATAAAAAATAAAACAAAAACAAAGTTCCATACTTTCCACTAGACCCCTTGAAAATTAACATGTTATCTCATTTATTTAATTAATTATTATTATTATTATTATTATTATTATTATTATTATTATTATTATTGTTTCAAGAGCTACGCAATGGGGGTAGACCACCCCCCAATCCAAGTGCAGGAACGATTCGATCCCAACTGTTACAACCAACAAGAGACATTTCCCTAATTTAATTTGGTTCCCATGTTTTTCTTTTAAATTTTCATGGACATGCAAACACCCCATTTATCAAGATATGGGGTTTTCTTTAATGAACATCTATAAGATATGATGGTTCTAAATCTCATTTTTTTCAAGCCACAAAAGGTAGTGTAATCACCATGGACTTTGATAGGTCAAGCCTCCGAAGGTCCAGAGAGAATGATAGGGAAGAGAGGGGAAAAGATGGCAAGATCCCCTAAGAAACCCTAGGATTAGGGTTATATGGTTGTGTCTACATCGAGGGGGGGGAGAGTTGCTCTCATTTTTATAGATGGGATACTAAGGCTATTAGGAGAAGATCCCAAGAGATAAACCTTTCCCTATTAAGAAGGGGGATATTTATCCTTACATCAGCTATTAAGCGAACTCCACTTAGGTTTTGCCACGTGTCTAAGCATAGCGTGAGTTACTATTTTATGTTCATTGCAAGATGTTGGTAGTGTACTAAGTTTGTCATAGAGTTGCGATATCATTTTATACCCATCATTGGTCTCAGATAGCACATTGTGCTCATCGCAAGTCTTAGAAG